AGTCCAGTTTTAGTTAGTCGACTAAAATGTCAATATATTCTCATTTTAGTTTCAGTCATCATAACTTGATAACTGAAAATAACGTTTTAATTTCGTTTTTTTCTAGTTTTAGTCACTAAAAAGGTGTTGTCAACGAACTTAACACTGCCTTTAGGCATTGTATATTAATGTACTTTAAAAAAAGCTGTCCCTGTCATCTGCACACTGCTATCTATTCTAACCACTAGAAGCTGCCTGTAGTGTCCTATGTATAATCCTGCTCCAAACAACTGAAAGGTAATAATATGGGAACACAAACATTTAAATTAGCCAAAGCAAACCTGAGAGCAGAACCTAACTATATTTGCTATATTCTATTAAGATAACCGATAACGCTCTGGGAATCCTTTGTCATGTATTAAATGTTTATTTATGTTTATCTTTAAAACAAGTGGGAAATAATATATATATATACAGTATTTATACTGTATATATTTTAAAATTGCAGAATCAGCAGGCAAAGCAGACTAATCACAACAGCTGTTACTTAAAATTCAATTTGGCCATATGCATAACAAGTGCTGTTTCTACAGAGGCAGAAACAACAATGCTTCAAACCAAATTTTACAGTAGGAAGGGAAATGGTCAAGTAATTCAAAGAAGAAAAAAAAAATGTGCTATTGATTGTACAGTTGGCTATTCCACAACGGCACATAAATCCCTGAGGAAGGGCAATCTGCCATCTGTTTGCTTTAGGTAAGAGATACAGCTTACCATGTACAGAGCAAAACAAATAAATATGCCTATTTGCAAGCCACAATCTAAATGTGCAGGAGTCAATTCGTGGTAGTGTGCCAAAAAAACAAACATAAAGACCAGCTCAAATAAATATCATATCCAAAATTGACCCCCATAAAAGTCTGTTAAATTGTAATTTGGACCACCACACATTATTGTTGGTTTACGTAAAATGATCTTGTAATTGTGTCACACATTCATGTGACTCTACAAAACAACTAAAAGTTCATGTGACTGTTCTAACAAATGTACTATTTAAATGTTTAGGCACAGAAATATGTAGGGAATTTATTTTGTATTTATTTTGTATAGGAATAAACTTGCATATATGTATAAAAGTTTCAGTCATGCATGAAACCTGAAACTTTGTGCGCTAAGCTAATGCTATCAAAGCTGCTAATTTGGCAGTTAAACACATTTTCAAAAGAGCAAGAAAGAGCAAAAACTGAAATCAACAGTTAATGCTTTCTAGGGAACACTGCAGCTGTGCTCAAGCCAGAAAGTCTATTTGGTTTATCTTCACTGGTTTACTGCAGCTTTGTTTTTGTATAATCTTGCTGTGCAACTTCCGTTTCTCTCTCCATGAGGACAGAAGGAGCCTACAATAGGCACACTTCAGGAACCCAACAATACCTAGTTTGTATAATGGCAATGTCAAACACGTGTTTCCACAATATGAAATATGTAGTCAGTCTTGATGAACACTAGAAGACCTGGGCTGCAAGGATCTTCCTCCTGTATACATTTCAGTGAAAAACTGGTTTGGTTCCGATCAACCATTTCTGACTCATGCAAAGGTTAAACTACTCTGGTATTGGCTGCGTGACCTTTATGGATTTCTATCTGAACCAACTGAATTCTAATATTATTAGACAAAGGTCATGGGATTTGGCCGAAAGTTTGTGAGCTATTATCTATAATGAACTTCTAATGCTGGCCATACACAACAATTTTCAAGCAATTCCAATACATGGAAGCTTTCAGCTGCAAAACATATTTATACATTTATTATACCAGTATTTTTAGGAGGTAGGCAGAAATGACAGACTCCTTTATAGGAAATATATTGTTAAAGCTGAGTTTGTTACACCTTGTCTGCTACCATTGTCATGGTGACCTCCAAACAATATAGGGACATATCAGATTAGAGTAATATGTACATAAAAAGCTAGATATTCTAAGTGAAAAAGAAAATAAAAAATTATAGCACAGGTAGCACAAATGTGTGCAATCATTACATATATGCATATGCACATTGTATTCATTAAAATACTTCCACTTTATGGAATGTTAGAATTAAAACTGAATGAGGAATATAAATGTAATTCCTTTATGGAATGTGATGTCATTTTTACTGCAATGTTCTATCTTTCTAAACTGTTATTTTCCTCAATGACAAGTACTGTGCACACTTAGTACAACTATTCCACAACAACTTTCTGAATTACAGTATATTCTACATCAGAATCAAGATTCAGAAGACTCTCTGTGCGACTAGTTTCTAAGTACCTCCTCAAAGTTATTAGCGGACTCAGATGTACTTAGACTAAAGCTGCCCAAACACCTTACGAATATTGGCCGATTTTCGTATGTGATCACGTTTTCGTCCAATATTCGTAGGGTTGATGGGCAGTGTACAACCGCAAATACTGTACAATCGATTTTCGCAAAGTTAGTGGCGTTTCCGTACGTCAAAATTCGTATGATCTACACTGCACATGCGCAGATGAAAATACGTGCGGTAGATTACCGCAATTTGTCCAGGTGCTTTCTTCTAATTACCGCTGATCCAACCTTGCGATAATCGGGGCAGGATGGGGCCACCGTACGAAAATCGCATGACGGTTCAATCATCGGACGAAAAGTTTCATCCGATGATCGCAAGGTGTATGGCCAGCTTTAGAGCTTGAATACCCAAAAAAGTGACCTTATAATAATTAGGAAATATCACTGAAAGTTCTAACACATTGGTTCTTCTCAAAGGGAAAGACCATCCTCATATTTTTTAAAAGCAAAAAAAAAATTTGGGCTAAAGATGGACTTTAAAGGCGGCATTCAAACTTAATTTTTTGGCACGTGTTTTTTTTATTGAATTCAATGGAAACTCTTTAAAATACATGCTGTAGTATAATCCTTGTTTGCTTGCTGGTTATAAAGTTTCACACATTACTGAAACTGAAATCCAGTATCTCGCTGTATCTTATTAAAGGAAGCACATGGCTAGAGGACATGTTTTACCAACAGTAAGCACAGGGAAAAAAATCCCGTATTCAATTAAAACAGTTCACTGGCTAAAGGCAACAGTGAGAGATCAAAGAGCTTTATTTTAAAAGCTGTTAATGTTTTGCTTTGGCTGTCAATATGCACACTGCTGGTTAGGAGAAGTTGCTCCAGTTTAAAGAATCATTTTCAAATTAACACATGGGTTTTCATTCTCTGCGGTAGCAAATCAGTGGTAATAAAATGAGGCTCAGTGTTGGGTTTATTTCCAAAGAGAGGAATTCTTACGGATCAGCAGTTTCAGCAAACTGAATCTGTCATGTTAAAATACTACCTTCCCCTATATCTCTCTATTAACAACTTCATGGCCCCAATGCTCTTTTATCTAAGTGACAGAAAACAAGGACAACGTGTCTAGCAAACACAAAACAAGAATATGACATTTGTATAAAAATACACATTATAATAATATGTATTTTTTAATAACATTAGTAGTAATGTGTGAAGGCAATACTGGAAGCAATCCAACCTGAACAGGTCTAAGCTTATGTAGATCTTCTACAACAAGATTTTGTTAAATTGCATGCAACGTTCTTTCAAATATCTGCCTCTACCCAAACACTACTGACAAGCTCCAGAACTATGGTGCCTGCACATATCTTTCCTCTGCAGGCCAGGTGATTAAGAACCCAGGTGGCTGTAGCTGGCAATATTAGACACTTCCTAGTAGTCCTAGTAGAATGCTTACATGTTCCTATTGGTCTATTACCATGCTGTGCATCCTCACTCGCCAGTAGAAACATGCAGGAGTTGTGAGAGGGTAAAGCCAGCACTAAATACTCCTTAACCTTGCCTCCATATTGGTCCTTGAATCTAATTTGCAAAGAATAGGGGGCTCATGGGGTGCGAGTATTGGGTCAAGTTTATCTTTTAAAGAAAAAGTCCCAATTTGCATATAATTTCAGTTGCCTATATCTGTGGATCTACTGATTGATTTAATGTGTAGTTTTCGGTGGAGGTAACCTCAGTTTATGCACTTTTTCATTTTATAGTTTGAATTTCCAGGCATGTCTTTAACTACCACAGATTTTGATGCAGAAAAAAAAGACAGTTTGACATAAGAGCTAGATTCAACTAAGTCAATTTGAGTTAGATGTGGGTGTTAGATCTGATACAGTTTTGGCACTTAACATAGTGCCAAAGTATGGTTATTAGGTTGCTCCATGGGCTTCAGATTCCCACCCACCACTGGGGGACAAATAATTAAAAACAGATAATAGAGTACAAAAGGAAAGGATCAAAAAGATGATCAGGTATGGTAAAATCCTTCTTTATTAATAGTCAATAGCCAAAATGTTTTGTAAGTTACACAAATCCCTCTTTTTCTAATGTAACATTAGAAACACCAACCACCTTTCATTTTGCCGTCCACCACTAACTCTGGTAAATGATCTTTCAAACTGACACTATCTGGCAGTAACTACAATAACAACATTGGTAAGCAAGCTGCTGCTCCAAATCCCTGAAAGCAGGGAGATCTGTGTAATCCTCAAATAAGAGTTGGCTATTGACTCTAAATAAACAATGATTTTACCACACCTGTTTTTCTTTTCTATTTCTTTGGCACTCCATTACCTCTTGCACTATATGTCAGTTCCATAACCTGATAAGCTAATATTTTTAGAATAGTAAAAGGAACCAGCCAGATACAGGATTTGACTAACTGATTATGGGGTTGAATGTAATGTCTGCAATGTAATGTTTCTCTATACACCTAACCTACATTAATATACAGTTTCTATCATTTAGTAACGTAAAATATCTTTGCATCAGAAGTGCTGGGAGATGCCCATATAATACTTTTACACAGAGAAGACAAAACAGATTCCTATCACATGTGCATTAGATAAGCCAAAAACTGATTAAGATCTCATGTGCATGAGAAAAAACATAAAACAGATTAAAATCTCATGTTTTTAATGTAAAACAAACATGTAATTTACCTGCTGAACTGTTCATCATATTGTAGGGGGATGATTGTGGAGTCATCATGGCAGCATTGCTATTCAAGGATTGGCTGTACGGAGAATTGGATCCCATAAGGCCACTCTGGTTCATCCCAGGAAACCCGCTTTGTCTAAGCAAGAAGACAACAAGCAAATATTTAGCATTTATATCGAAATACAACATTCAGCTACATGAATGGTGGGGGTGAATGTGTTTAGGCAACATATATGCTTGTGTTAAAGCCTGACTGTATCTGAACCAACATCTCATCACCTGAATAATTCTAGTCATTTTGATTAGAACTTTTGTATTTGATATTACTTTTGTAAAACAAGTTGTAGGGTAGCTACATTTCTCACAAATAATCACAAAATACATTATATTAAGACAAAATACTGCCCTTAGAATCAAACTGATGGAAGGTGTTATTCATATATCTGGGTGGTTCAGCATCTGTCACAGAACATTTAACAAATGGCGCTGCAAGGAAAAGTGTTTGCAATGCCTGTCAAAGCACGGCATGGTGAACAGTAAAGTGGGTTTAGAAACATATAGCTTAGTTAATTAGAAAACAAGAAAATAACACAAACATTTTCTTTGTAGTGCAATATATCAGCTGTTTTCCAAGACGAGTGTCTATGAAACGTTAAGAGGCATCAAGGTAAAAGCTGCTTGGATTCTTGTTAATATTGAAAACAGCTTTGGCTCACAAAAGAAGATTGCTAATAAGCAACATGCAATACTTCCAAGACATAGCAGACCCATCCTTGAATTTAGCTGTATAAGTCACTGTTGCTGGATTTGCTTAATGTGATCAAAATGTAAAAGTCAATCCATCACACACAAAGCAAGATCACAGTGCCGTACAGCAGCAAGAAATAATGTAGAGATAACTTTTTACCCTTATATTCATGCTGAAATGTAATTGGCAGTGGTACATTGGAGGTTTTGACACCTATTTACAAAAATGTTTTCATAAAAGCAAGCAACAACCCTTTCCTGCATGTCCCGATAGCATCCAAGGCAAGGAATATGCAAACATCAGCTTACTATAGGTGCACCCTGTATTCCACAACACAATGCCCTTCTAAAGGATAATGTGACAGGCACATTGTGTTGTGATAAATGGGGTGGGGTGGCTGGGGCCACAACTTCGACTATAGCACACAGCCAGCTATGGTACATAAAAAAAATGTGTGGGCTCCCACGGCATCCAGGTGAGAAAATAGGAAGAACGGAATACATGCATGAGGCATTTTATTGGACTTGTGATTAGTGACTTCTACCAGTTTAGTAACCTTTTCCTAATGACTACTTCACTTTCCTACACTGTCCTGGTTTTGAAAGCTGCAAAGAATAAATAGATCATCGTTTGTGGAAACTGCACATAATTATGTTAAGGGCCGTAGAAGGTAAAACATTTAGGGCTCCTGGACACATTTACAGATCAATGTGTAGCATTTCGTACATTGCATTTTGTTGCTGTAAGGCAGCCTACTAATTAAGGATGGACTGCCAATACACCCCAATGTGGGATTGAATGGACCTGCGCCATTTTTGTAATGCACCGCACCACCAAAATATGACATATGCATTGCAGTGTGCTGTAGAGCAAGTCTGCAGCCATCTAATCTTCCTGGGGATTCCAGTCTAAATTAATGGCACCATAATGCAGAGTGGTATGCATTAACAGTAATGGGTGTTAAAACATATGTTTTACTGCATGTTACTGCAACACATAGGTGTGAAACCAGCTTTAAACATGGACACAGACTCTAAAGAAACATGTTATTTATCCAATTACAAACTGCAAGCATGATTGAATGGGCAAATTAGTCAAATATGGATACATAGTCATCCAAAATGAATAGAATATTAATTTCGGGCTTCCATGTAGTCATTAAACAGCCGCATTAGTGGACCTATAAGCCTAGTCACAGCGTCACAAATTATTTGCCTGGCTCCGCCAATTGTCCTAAAATGGGGAAGAGTCCTCTGATTTTTGGGATATGTGATGAAAATAGACGCGTCTCCCTTTACAGAAATTTCAGGCAAGGTTTATGAACTTGTAAGTTATAGGTCAGTCTAAGGCTATCAACTGAAAGAGTTTGCAAAAATCGGTTTTGATTTTCAGGGACGTATTTATAAAAAAAACTATATTTGTTTTATCTATACACAATGTTATAACAAGCATTGATGCTAGAGGTTTCACATGCATCTATTCTACAGTAGCTTTAATACATATTCTTGTGCATCTTATATTTGTGCTTATGCACATTCTTTTACGCATTTTTAAAAGTTGGAAAAAAAACATTTGAACATTTTTTCATGTTCTGCTGCACTAAAATGCATAATAGTTTAACACTGGGGGATATGTCGTGCTTTACAAAAATACCAAAAAATGTAAATCTGCATGTATGCTAAATGGTTATAGCCTCTGGCTCATTCTCAGGTATGGCACAGAATGTAACATAAAAAACATTTTTACATCTGTTGGTATTAGAGAGATTTAGAGAGCATGTGCAGGAGGTAAATCATCAGTAGCTGCCCAATGGCAGAGGGGGGAGACACCAGACCAATAAAAAGACTGGCTGAAGATGTCAACAGTCACAGCAGAGCTTAGATGTTGCATTGCTGGAGGAGGACACATTGAAAGGTAAGTGAAATAATAAACATTTTATGCAGCTGTGCATTAGGGTGGCATTGTAAATAAATGGCACCGCAACCCAGTGCACAAACTGCCATGTGCTAATGAGCATTTACTTAATGAGCATTGCTGTAATGCAGTATATGGCGTGTTAGGGCAATGTGTAAGTCTTGAGAGGGCCTAAAGTCACTGCAAATTCAAAAAGCTGATCTGGCAGTGTTACAGTTCATCCCAACCCCTGTCACTGTTGCTAGCAGCTCTATCTACATGCAAATGTGAAGAAAAATATAAAGCGATGTGAAATAAAATAGGGAACTCCTATAGTAAGTATTATCACTACTAACTGCATGTTGGAATCAGAATACAACTTACTTCCACAATAATTGTCTTCTATTGCCGTTTAGAAGTGATAGGGATTCTTTAATGGTGGCAAGTAAGTTCGTACAAAGTGTCATCTATCAGATGAGGCTTTGTGACAAGGAGAAATTAAAACTGCACAGCAGTTTTCTTTTCAGACTTGATGCAAGAGATAACGGCTAGAAGAAAAGAATTGTACATTCCACAGTTCTAAATATTTGTTTGGATGGTATGGGAATACATTAGAGCACAGAGTGTACAAAGAGTTTGTTTTCTCTCAGTAAAAGCATTCCTGGAGCTCAATGATGTTCTGTGTGACCTTCGCAACGGAATTCTCCTAATTGTAAAAATACACTAAATAATGTCACCGATACAGGTTTTGTTACAGTATTTTAAAAGCCCAAACATAAATGTATGTAAATGTATGAATTAAATTATCTATATGGAAGGCAACAGTCACTAAGGGCATACAAAGAAGCTTTTAGATTCAATAAGGATAAAAATGGGGCGACTGCTGGTAATAGGAAAAATTACCTAAAGCTCAACTGAACAAGCAATAAGCTAAATACATTGTTGAAATAGGTTTATAAGAGGGACTTTTTTCCCTGGCAAGTGAATTGTCATTTTGTTTAACCTGTCCTGGCTTTTACAGAGCACTACCAGGTAGCACATGTTGGTGACCTTCCAGTTCTCTACTGCAGATAATCAATACAGCTTGGTCACCTTGTAATAGGACAGTAAAAGGTGCAGCAGCAGAATTAGAAGACATCTTTCCTTCTGTCAGCACATGTGCAAGCAGCACAGCCTGCTCCATGACTCCATGCTGCTTTCTTTATCCAGCACAATTCTGCTTTCAGCTGTCTGGGTTCTGCCATAGTCTTTCTATAAGGTAGTTTAATTTATCATCAGTTTTACATTGAATACAACACATTGGGTCTAGTACACAATATAAAAATTAAAGCCACATTCTGGGCAGAATGAGAATTTAAACACCACACTAGGTGTGTAAAAAGAGAATGAGAATTGAAAACACCACACTGGGTGTGTAAAAATCATTAAAAAGCTGAGTGCCATGTGCAGAGGGCGACTGCAAAGTATATAAATCTTACCTTGCAGCACACTTTCCCTTTCACACAATGCCCAGAGAGAGAGTTGCGACCCAAGCTGTTGCATCACCTGTCCCTTTCCACTATCTTCATTCACAAAATGTCTTGTATTTTTTTTAAAGAATACAAGATATTCTGTCACAGGAGGGGTGGGTATGTGACATCATCTCTCCTCTTCCAATCACAGAATGCTTCGTTCTTTAAAAAAAAGACAAGACATTTTGTGAATGGAGGAGAGTGAGGAGAGAAAGGTAACGAGACTGGATCGCTATTCAGCTTGGGTCACATCGCTCCCTTTCTTTAGTGCCCAGAAGCTGGGCATTCTGTGCGGCAGACGGAATGCTGCAAGTTATGTTTTTTCTACTTTGCCGCTGCACTCTGCATATAACAGGGGTCCCTGGCGTGACTACGGACGGAGTGCGGAGTGGCTAACCATAGCCACCTTCCTCATCCAAGTCCCTCAAGCATCGGTCCTATTCCAGACACTCATTGTGTATGGTAAGTACCGGATGCCCACTCGGGGTGGGGTTATCTACCTACGGGGGTTAATTGCCTTAATGTTTTTTCTATTCTATGTACTGTTTAATGATGGATATGCCTTATTGTGATTATATACAAAGAGAACAATTTCCATTGTTAGATTAGCCTGTTGGTCCCCCGAAGAAGCTCATTGTGAAACGCGTCGGGACGAAGCATGTTAGATTTCTCTATCTGGATGTTTCATCTATGAACTGTTTGGAATCATGGCTGTTTAACTAGAACTATTTGGTTTGAGATTGTGCTCATTGTATATGCTTTTCGAACTACATTGATGGTATTGTATATTTGCATCAATTAAATTAGTTTTATCATATTTATTTTTATGTACAATACATTTTGATACATTCTATCTATGCATTGGTCTCATACCTCTCTAAAAACCCTTATTTCTTCATATGTTTTTCATGTTCAATACTTTATTAGGGTGAGTGGTGAACATAGGGAGCCAATGTCGAGGCTATTCACAAGTTTTTCTTTGCT